GCAAGTTGGAGGCCAGCCTGTCATGACCATTCTTCTGAGTCTCTGTAAGAAACTGTAGTTTCCCTAGGATAAATTACATCCAGGATCATTTCTAGGTCAAATAATATATTGACCCAGCAATATATTATTTTAATAGCAATTTATACCTTTGCCAGATTTGTGTATGGGAGTACCTACTTTCCACGTCTGACACACTGGGGAAGTTCTTGCCTTTGCTAATGTGACTGGTCATACTGTCTTCTCAGTGGTAGTTTACTGTGAGTTTGTTTCTTAAAAACATCACATATTTTTTTTAGTTCTTGGTAGTTTTTTTCTCTTACAACTTTCTATTTATACTCTTAGGACCAATCACCTGTTTTTCACTAATTTATAAGATAAATAAAGGAAGCCATTTCCAAATTAATTCCTAGTTTATAATGGTACAATTTGGGTCACTATGAATAATACAATGTATCCTGAGGACTTTAATATACTGGTCACAAAAGTATTGGCTATGTATTATTATTTTAGGCTACACTACTTTTTGTTTTTGAGAAACGGTCTCACTATGCATCCGTGGCTGACCTGGAACTTGCTATGTAGACCAGTCTGGCCTTGCACTCACAAGAGCTCTGCTTGCCTCTGCCTCCTTAGTGCTGAGATTAAAGTTGTGAGCCACCATGCCTGGCTAAATAACTTTTTAATTACACTGGTCTAAGGCCATTTTCATGTGATGAACTTTGAGCATCCTACTCCCCACTACCTTCCTGTTTCATGCCTCTCCCATTAGTTTCCTTTCTTCCCCTAGACTGTTTTATTTCTACTTTCATATCATCTGTACATTATTATTTTACTTATCTATAAAAATATGGACCCACAAATTAAAGAAAATGTCATAGCTATCTTTCTGAGACTGACTTAACATGACTATCTCCATTTGCAACCATTTTTCTGCAAATGACATAACTCCATTTTCCTTTATGGCTGAAAAAAATTCCATTGTGTATATATACCACACAGGCTATATGTTTTTACTAAGGGATTAGAACATGGAATAATCAGGACCTCAGAGAAGTAACTACTCAACATTAGTACAACTAACTTAAAACAACCTATCTAACATAAGTAACAGCTTTATATTCCTAAACTATGTATTTTTCACATTTTTGTGTGTTTTTTTATTCTCTGGTAATTTCATACATGTATACAATATATTTAAACCACTTCCACCCTCCCTACTCCTTCCCCTTACTCCTCTTGGTCTTACTACCACCACATTCTCCTCTGAACTCCAAACTATACATTTTATGTGCTTTTTAAAATTGTTTTTATTTATTTTTAATTTTTTAAAATTTTTGTGTATTTCATACAGAAAATCATCTTTATGCCCCTTTCCCCTTTGACACCCTCCTACAGCACCCCCACTGGAGTTCATACAGTCTGTCATTTATGTTAAGGCTCATCATGTAAAGTCAGTGTCCCCAGATGTCCCCCAGTGCAAGTTCATCCACTGGGATCTAGTCAGCCTATCTAGAGTCCCTCCATTTAAGAAGATCAGCTCTTCTTCACCCAGCAATAATCAGCTGTCAGTAATTCTTTGACTAAAGTTGGGGTCTGCTGTTCATTTTCACAGCTCTGTGCTGGGTTTTTTATCTTATGAATGCTGACACCATTGCTATAGGTTTGTATGAGAAGAGACCCAGGCACCTGTAGGACTCTATTTCTGTATGGTCATGCACCAACTCCCAGACTCTTACAATCTTTCTGCCCCCTCTTCCACAATGGTCTCTGAACCCTGGGTGGGTAGATTTTAATATAAGAATCCTGTCCAATGATCCACACTCTGCAGACTCTTATTCTCTGAGTTTTGGGCATTTGTGACCTTTTGCGTTCAGGGCCCTCTGTTACATGAGGGAGCTTCATTGATGAGAACTGAAAAATGCATTAGTGTTTTCTTCATCCTTTGTTCTATGTTCTGTGAGCCTTAGGTGTAGAGGTTGCATCTTAGATGAGCCACTTAGACTTAGGCAATTCACAATCTCTGTATGTGACCAGTTGGGTGTATGAGTATTTTGCCTGCATGTGGGCAAGTGCACCTGTGTCATGCAATGCCTATGGAGATCAGAAGAGAGCATCAGATCCCTTGGAACTGTAGTTAAGGAGGGTTGTTAGTCTCCATGTGGTGCTGGGAACCAAACTCAGGTCCTCTGCAAGGGCAACCAGTGCTCTTAACTGCTGAACCATCTCTCCAACCCCTAAACTATACATTTTAAACTCCAGACATACTGTACTTATTCACTGCAACATGGGGTTTGAGATTTAGCATTTACTTTATTGTTACGATCATTACTCAAAAAGTTTGCACATACATTAATTTTTTACCCCTTTCTATGTAAAAATAGATAAAAGTAAATGTAAAAATTATAGAAGTAAATGTATAAGGAATTTCCAGGGTAGACTACAGAAAGCTGAGGGTGGAAGTCCAAAGTAACTGATTATACAGAACTGTATAATCTTCTGAATTTGTCATCTCTTTAACAGCTTACACTCATTAACAAGATTGTGGGGCAAACTATAAAAAATAGGTGAGTTTTAAAATACAAACTTTCTATTATCCAAAATCTTATAACTCATTGAGTTATAAATTGTGTGTATATATATATATAGTTACATCAAACATGAATAATGCATCTTAATGAAAATAAAGTATCTTCTATATCTGATGTTATACATAAATTATTAAAACAAACCTATCCTAGAAATGACAAAGAATTACTTTTGCATTAGTCCATATGCTAATTAAGACCCAGAAACCGGCCAAGCATTATTTCTAGTTTAAAAGGTTTGAATTAAAGTGTTTTTCCAGGTTAAATTCTCTCTAGTAACAAATAGCATTCAACCAAGAATTCAAAATTTCTTATCAAGTCTTCTCCCACTAGTTTTAAGAAAATACATACTTTAGCATTATTATTCATTTAAACTTTTTTATGTTTTGGTACTTATTGTGTTAACTATTTCAAATATATATTAAGAAGACACAAAACTGAATTTGCAGAACACTCACAATGAAATAAAAACTCACACTAAGTAATACTGAAATGTTAACCTTTATCATGTAGCAAAACTAAGAGTTATTTGTTTTTTAATTATGCAATGTGTAATTTTTGCTCAATTCATAAATTAGTATATATTATTTCTAATTAAACTTTAAGAAAAAGATGAAATGTACCAAATCATATAGCCGAAAGTTAACTTCCTGATCCTCAGGCAATATGGAAAAGCTTTATAAGAACATTATCTGGCAATAGTTACTGAAAATATTGATTACAACAAATCCCTTAGGCTTCCTCCAAGTCCAATAGCACTGTACTAATGTCAAGTCCAATAGCACTGTACTAGCACTGACTAATGGCTATTCACTGTTCATAATCCTGGAGCCTAAATTAGATAGTGCCAGTTGTGGTGACATTTTCTTCTTAGGAAAAAGTGCCTCCTTAAACTAAATTATTAATCCTGGATTTTTCTCCCCTTTTATTAAAGTTATTAAAATCAAATTAGAATTTTAAATATATAAAAATACATATATCTTGAAATAGAATAAAATTCAAAGTCCTTTCACCTTTGGAATACTATTTAAGACTATAAGGAGAAAAAGAAAACTTATAGTGAAAAAGACAAAAATCAACTCACATATATGAACTGGCAAATAAAGAATTAGCTTATTATTCTTAGCCAATCTGAGGGCAAAAAAAGAAGAAAAAAAAAAGCCAGCTAGTCCTACTACATACAACAAGGCTGTTGAGTTTGCTGATATACTAAAATTTTTAAATTATCTGAGAGGCTCAACTGACAAGAGCCAGGAGGTCAATGAAGAAAACACAGCTGACCTGCTGCACTCCCAAGACATTCAAGAGGGCAATCTCTGCCTTGATCCTTTTCTTCTACTTGCAATCACATACAAAGACAAAGGGCAGGGGCTAGAGAGGTGGCTCTGCGCTTAAGAGCACTAGATGCTCTTACAGAGGACGCAGGTTCGATTTCCAGCACCCCCATGGCAGCTAACAACCGTCCATGACTCCACTTCCAGGAGCTCTGACACCCTCTTCTGACCTCCATGGGCACTGCACAACACAGGTACAGGTACACTTATACACATGCAGGTAAAATACTCATAACACATAAAGAAATAAAAACTTTAATTAAAAAAATTCAATATATATATTTTTCAAAGACAAAGGGCAGGCAGGCATGGTGGCATACACCTGAAATACCAGGATTTGGGAAACAGAAGTTCCCAAAGGTTCCAGGCCTGTATGGGCTACACAAGACAGTGCTCAAAAGACAGACAGAGGGCAAGGTTTAGGAATCAGTACAGGGGTAAAGAAAGACAGCACAATATCCCAAGTTTGTGAATCTTAACACAGAATGTTTCTAGTTATCTAAGATAGTGAAACCTTATGCTACAGTTGCTGATCTAAATTATCACGACTTTAAAAAATAGTAAGTCTTAATGTATTCTGTAGATTTTATTACTTATTTATATTATAAATATTTATAAAATCTTTTTCCTCAAATTTAGCAAGTAAGCATATCTTTTTATTATCTGTTTTCAGTTAATAGTATGATAAAGTAAACATAGTCTTAGTTTCAACTCAGTCATGAAACAGCTTATTGGACTTGAACAGTATTTTGGCCTATATTTCTGTATTTGTATACTGAGAAGAGTAGATCTAAATGATTTAAATGAACGCTTCTATTTTAAAATAATCAATCTAAAATTATTTAAAAATAATCATCCAATCAACAAACTGGATGACTTCCAAGTTGTTCTGACTAACAGCTACCTTCAATTGGAGAACCATTGTTCTCCAGGAGTAAATTGTGGGATTTTTCCTCCAGCAACAATTCCCTTATCAACACTAGTGAAGGCAGGACTTGGATATACCCCCACCCCAATTCCATCACTGCATCCAACCTCCAGCACAACAAACCCATCACTACCTACTTACTAATTTACTTACAGAAGAAAGGGGTATGCCAAGCCCCACTATGGCGAGCATAAAGCTTGTGATGGTACTGTCATGGTACGGATACTTGATGCTGATGTCAGTACAGAAAAAGCCTCTCTGAAATGGATCTATTTGGCCCAAATTTAGAACAGCCATAGGCAGGGAAGCTGTTGGGGAAGGGAAAAAAGACATATATGATTAAATTCAATTCACTTCTTAAGGAAGGGAAGGGTACATACAGGATGTAAATCCTAAGTATACTTTGCCCTTTCTGGAGAAGGAACAATATTTCATAATACCTAGGAGTGGAGACTGATGAAACCATGCAGCATTTGCACATTCAAAAACAAATTATCTTACTTGCATTGACCTCTGATTTAAGGGACAATCAGAAGAAGTCACCAGGGGAGGAGGGCAAAATTGATCCAGGGAAAACTAAAGCTGAGATATAGGAAAAGTTTTCTATTTTATATTCTATAATTAATCCATATCTAATTTAATCGCTTAATATCTTAAATACATTTAAGGAAAAAGGCAAAGTAACATAAATGAATTTAATAGTACCACCATAACAGCTGAAGTATAAAGAAGTAAACATTTCCTTCATATTAGAATAAAGTTAGAAAAAGAAACAGAAACATTAAGTATATTTCACAATAAAAATAGGAGCAAGTCCTTTGTTTTCTAAAGACAAATAAAAGTGGGTTTATTAGCCTTTGCAGGGCTCTAAAACCACTTTAACATGGCTCAGTCTTCCAAGTATCTGAGTCTACACAATAACAAAGATGTTTAGCTGGCAGTTCCTTAATATGTTCAAATTTGCAATGCTTTCATAGGCTTTGTTTTATACAATTCAAACACTCAAGCATATTCTCACTCACTATATACTCAATACTAGGTTACTCCACGTATGGAAGACAAATTCGTGTAAAATAGGTTCAGGAATCTAAATTACATGTGTAAAACTGAATATACACTTGTGAAATTGTTGAAAAGAAATATCAACTTTTTTTCCCCTGGGAGGGGGGTAATGGAACTGTTTTGTACTTTGACTGTGATAGTAATTCTATAATCTATTTTTACTGTGCATAAATTTAAAAAACAAAAGGTATAACTACATCATAAAAATAGAAATATGGCTATTAAAATGGCAGAAAAGGAATCTATAGGAATTCAGATGTCAACATTAACTGAAATAATCAGAAAAGAACATTAGAGAAGAGGTAAGTGAGTTGAACTTGAAACAGCAGGAAAACCACAGGCAATTGGGACGGGCACAGGAGGACATTTGGTGGTATAAGGAGGCAGGGCAGGAGCACAGGGAACAAAGCAAGGAGCCTCCAACATAAAGACACTTTATGGCCAACACATACTGCATGCTCACACATGCCAAGCACTACACTGCAAAGACTAACACAATTCTTATCTGGAGTGTATCAAGTAGGTACTACCAGTACCCCCAATTTTTCATTACACCTATTAATTGGTGTTAAAAGAAATGACGACTACTGTTGGCACAAGTCCTCTGGCTAAAGTAAGGCTTAGAACTATGGCAATAAAGACAGAATTGGGGATTCTGTCTTTAAAAAAAAAAAAAAAGTGGTTTTTGTCCTTTAAAAAAAAACCAAGTTCCAGGACAGTTGGGGCTACAGTTGGGTCTCAAAAAAGACCCCCCCCCAAAAAAAGATTCTGTAAAATACATGTGCTCATAATGAAAACTCCAAGTTAAAGGAACAACATCTTTGCAGCAAATCATCTCTGAATTCTGCAATTTTGTAATTTTTTTAACGACAGTATGAACGCTTCAGATTTTTGTTTATCAAAAAACTGAGTTTAAAATACTGGCCTAAGAAAGAACTTATCTTGTAGGAAATAAATTACCATCTTCTTTTGGTCAAGGTTAGCAACGTAGTAAAATAAGGGTTTTAAAAAACTAACTTCCAGAACTGAGAGAGGAAAAAGAAGAATTTAATACAGCACTGAAATAATTCAAAAATTGATATTAACGTGTTAAAACAGAAAAGGATGCAAGGAAGACCTTTGAATATAGGAATGGCACACCCTGAAGACTGATCACAATTGCCAAAGCAGACCTAAAGGTGACACTTTAGAATTTGGAAGTACAGAGAATAAACATCTCATGATAGAAATGTGAAGTTGTAAGGAGGTGCTCATTCATGTTAATTTACTATTGCGAATATTGCCTTTGGGGCAATTTAGCATCTTCCTAAAGCTCAGTCAGCCTCCTCTTCCAGGCTCCACACAGCCCTTAAGGCTCCAATCACACTGAACTCACACTGAACCATCTGCTATTGTCCAAACTACTATGCCTTGGAAACCTTAGGTATCTTTCTATATTCTCAGCCTTCTGTTATAGATAGATGCCCCTCCGTTTTCCCCTCAGGTCAAAGTAAAGTATTCCCTCACCTGTCCCATGACACTGAGTACACATACCAATTACCCTGTTTTCTGTACATCTTTCAGCAATCCTAAGGGCAGGTACTATCTTTATTTTTTATCCTTTGTACCAGGCACACATTTAGATCTGAATAGAAATCTGTTGAATGACTAAATAAATAAAATTCAGGATAGAGATATTTAAGTTGTTAGCTTTAGAAATTGTAACTCAAGCAAAGAGGATGAAACAGTTCTCAGAAGTCAAGAATAACAGAGACAGAACAATCACTCAAGAACTAACATTCCTCATAAAACAATGAAAGAGACGATAAAAAGTGGAGGAAGAATTGCTGATTATATGCTCCAGAGGGCAAGGAATGAGTCTATGTTGTTTAGCAGCATGCAGTAGCTAGGCTTTGGGGAAAAAAAGAACAAACAAGAGAGAAGGATAACGATGTGACACAAAAGCCAATGTTTAAAGTACTATCTGGGTAAATGGAGGGTGCAAAATGCCAAATACAGCAAGGAGTATAAGAAGTCAGTAAAGACTATGAGGTCTGAAGGAGTGACCTTTGAGCATTATACCATACCCTCATAACTTAGCACAGATGCCTTTTTAAAATTTATAATTTTATTCTTTGTAAGTTTGATACACATATATAATGTATAATGAATTTTAATAGTCTCTTTTTCTAAGACACACACAGCATTAATCTATGAATATAAACGTGTAGTCAGAAGGAAGTTTGAAAGCATGTCCATTTAGCAAAATAATAGTAGAGCATGTGACCTCCTACAATGACAACTTTACAAAGCAACATCAGTGTTGAGCTTTAAAGTTGGGTTGTCGTTATCTAAGCATCCCTTTCAAGTTAAATATATCACAGTGATTTCCCCTATTGCTCATAAATATTACACAAGAGACATACACACGCATGTGCACACACACACACACATTATACCTACATTTATATGTATATATAACAGATACTCATAATTGTACCTGGTGGTGGCACATGCCTATAATCCCAGAACTTAGGAAGCTGAGACGGGAAGATCATGAATTCAAGACAAGCCCGGGTTACACAATGAGCTCCTGTCTCAAAAATAAATATTCTTCACCTGCTATACCAGATTACTTTTAATGGTAATATTTTAGGGGAGTGATGGAGACCTGCATGTTCAAATTAGTGTTATAGGAAGAGTCTTGTCTGAATAAACTCTTTCCTTAATAGCTAAAGGACATAGGCATCATTTTTTATCCTAATTATAATTCTAGATATTTTTCTCCTCATTAAAATTTCCTTAGCCATGGCCTATGTGTGGAGGATAGAGAATAAACTGCAAGAGCCAGTTCTCTCCTTCTACCATGTGTGTCCTTGGGATTAAAGTCAGGTCATCAGACATGACAGAAGGTGCCTTTACCTGATGAGCTATCTCACTGCCCCCACTAAGTACAACTCTTAATTACTGTATGTTTGATTTGGTATATTTCACTTAAGATACATTGAAAAACATAGATAAATGAATACCTGGAGTCACATACGTATGTGTTTCCTATATCCTCCTCCAGGTAAATGGTCTATGAAATTCCTTCTATTTTATATACAACATGTATAGTCTTAAACATGTGCTATTTACAGATTAATTCTAAGTCAAATTTTGCAGTGAAAACAAGTCAACAAATGTTCTACTATGCAGATGCAAAGTCAAGAAAACAAGTACTAGAGCTAGATGTGGTGGCACAGGTCCATAACCCCAGCACTTGGGAGATGGAGGCATGAGGATCAGAAGTTGAAGGTCATTCTCTGCTACATAGTGAAGTCAAGGCTGGCCTGGGCTACATGAGACCCTGTCTCAAAAAAGAGTACAAAATTTACCTTTTGAAAAGAATAAAAAATCTGGAAGTTACTAAAGTGAATATACTGAGTTCAATTACCACTCCTTCCTCTATTTTTTCAAAAGCTCTCATTTAAAACATTTAAATAAATACTGCACTATACCACAGAGAACTCCAAGTGTAGAAGGTGTGAATGCAGTCAAGGAATAGCATAATCTCTTTAGGCTGAGACTGCCTGCAACCTAAAAGGCACAAAGACTGACAGAAGCTTGACAGAAGCTCTGATCTCAGGAGAGCTCATCTGAAATGATCTAGCAGGATAATAAACACAACCACCACATTCTCCTCTTGCAAGGTTTTCCGTTGCCCAAAACCATCTAGATGCCAGAGGGCAAGGTCAGCCTCCTGGCACAGAGGGCAGACCTGGTGCACAAAGATGAAGAGGAGGTCTGCTGGAACAAATGAAAGACATTCTAATTCTACAAGAGGGAAAAAGTATGTCAGGGCTAGTGAGGCATCCACAGAAAACAGTATCTGAGAATATGAGAATGGGTCTACTCGTGTAGTCTACATTAACACTACCTCTTAAGAACGTGACTTTATTCTGTGGGTAAGGAGACACACAATCTAATTTGTGCTTTAAGGGCAACGAGAGTTCTGAGAAGAGTTGTGTAAAGGAAAAGGTAAAATAGAGGGAAAGGCCAGAGACAAGAAATAATCCTGTGCAGAAAAGAAGCTGAAGGCCAGAAATAAGGGAGTGATCACAGGAATAGGAAAAAGAGAGATTGGAAAGATGTTTAGATTACTTCTACAAAACTGTGGACCATGTCTCTGTATATACAGATAAGAGTATCTCTCTAAACTACACACACACACACACACACACATACACACACACACACACACACACACAGAGGGGGTGTACAAGGG